TCTGATAGGAGTGAGCCAGGGTTCAATTTGCAAGGGAACTAGCCAGAGGTGTGCCTACCTTGGGGATCTAAATTTACACCTTCCATTCGTTCAGACAATTGTCCAGACTTCTTTAACCATACTGATTGGATTTGGCCATTGGGGTACAGTTTTTCTTTTTTCTTTTTTTGTGATACTGTGGATGGAACCAAAGGCCTCATATATGCTAGGCAAGCACTCTACTACTGAGCCACATCCCCAGCCCTCTTTAACCATACTGGAGAATAAATGCAATTAACAGTGACTACCACTAATCAGTTTTTGTTATTGTTGTTACTGGGGATTGAACCAGGAATGCTCTGCCATTGATCTAAATCCCCAGTCCTTTTTACTTTATTTTGAATCAAGGTCTCTTTAAGTTTCTCAGGCTGGCCTCAAACTTGTGGCTTTGTAACTAATCCAAGCTGAGACTTTCTCAGGAAAATCTTGTTGTTGTTTTTTTTTCCAGTGCTGGGGATCAAACCTAGGGCCTCCTCTATACTTGGCAAACACTCTATTATGAGATCAGGTGACTGGAAAGTCAGCCCAGGAAAGTCTCTTGACTCTGGGATACTAATATTTGCCTTACTAAGTTCGCAGTTTTTTTCAACTAGCAAATCAATCAAATGAGAAAAACCTTGCAAAACAAGTTATAATTACAGATCATGGTTGATACTATATAGTATGTGTGACCATGTTCTAATAAACAACAAACTCCAGAGGGCGCTAAATCTCCAGTAATGTGCTCTGAAGGCTTATGTGGTCCCCTGACCAGAAATGAATCACCCTAGAACTGCATCACAAGCACAGGAAAGGTTTATTGAAGGCTAATTTAAAGAATCTCAAGTGGATGAGTTCATGGGTCTGTTCTTTCAAAAAATGATGAAGATTAAAACTCAAACTAAGATTGCTAATGGCAGGATATGGGGGAGAAGTGGCAGGTGCTACATCTGTCTATGAAGGTGGCATGAAGCCTGTCACAGCCCAAGATGCAGACAGAGATGAGAAAAACAAGGCCTTCAAAAAGAAATAAAAAGAGGAGCAGAGGAAACTCAAGCAGCTAAAAGCAGGAGCCTCTGGCCACAGATAGAATGAAGAAATACAGCAAAAGTAAGCTGTTCCTTGGGCCTGAAGTGATGACCCTTGGTTTCTTCCTATTTAAACATCTGGATTCTCTTCCATAACATATTTTGCCACCTATTACTAGGATGAAGTGTTATCTTAGAGCTTGTTATAAATTTAAGAATAAACTTGTGTTTAAAAAAAGTCTTGCCGGGTGTGGTGGCAAATCCCTGAAATCCCAGCTACTCAGGAGGCTGAAGCAGAAGGATCACAAGTTCAAAGCCAGCCTCAGAAACTTAGAGAGGTCCTCTCAGTGAGACCCTGTCTCAAAATTTAAAAATTTTTTAAAAGGCTGGGGTGTGTCTCAGTGTTAAGCACCCCTGAGTTCAATCCCTGATTTTATATATATCTCGAGCATAGTAGTATAAGTCTGTAATCCCAGCCACTTGGGAGGCTGAAGCAGAAGAATCACAAATTCAAGGCAAGCCTCAGCAACATAGCAAATTCCTGTCTCAAAATAAAAATAAAAAAGAGTTAGTGGTGTAGCTCAGTTGTAGAGCACCAGGTTCGATCCCCAAAATCACACATACACACAAATCCAAGGGTTGGGGGAATACCTCAGCAGTAAAGTGCTTGCCTAGTGTGTGTGATGCAAGGTTTTGATTCCTAGCATCAGCACCAAAAAGAAAAGGGGAAAAAAAAAATCCAAATGAGAAAGTCCTGAGAAATGCAAGGTACTATTTATAAAGACAAATGAGAAGACTGGGGTGAAACTGCCTTGTGGTCTAGACTGGAATCCTCAGTATCCTCCTTCAAGGGGCCTCAAGGTTCAATGAATTTTCCTCATTAGAGTTTAATTTCAAGGATTTCTTTCCTAATCAGAAGTGATATAATGAAAGAGTATAGGACCTTAGTAAAGTGTCCCAGAAAATTCTGGGTCTCAGATCCTTTTCTGTAAAATAGGGATGGTAAGAACTCCTCACAGAGGCGTGAGGACTAGACAAGGTGATGTACAGAAAAATGTGGCAGTGACCAAGAGTTGATACTCAAACATCAGCCTCCTAATGCAGCTTCAACTGGCATGCCTGAAGAGGTCCCAAAAGTGGAACACTGGAGTCCAAGACACAGGAAGCAAAGGCACACAAATATTCAACTTTTCAAATTTCTGTTCAAACTTCTGTTTTAAGCTTTTCTTCAAACTGTCAAGGGATCCCTACAATTTTGAAGCCTACCTGAAACGCAAGGTTTGGCAATTTCAAAAAGCACTGTCCCCGTCTCCAAATCTCGAATTTTGAAGCGGGTGAAATCAATACTGTAGATGTTGTCTTCAGGTTTACACAAGTAATCTAAAAAATGAGAAAGAGACCAATGCTATTAAATAATCATCCAAAACTACCACTTATTTCTCAAGTTTTGAAGCAAATCAGGGATTTTTTTTTTTTTTTTGTACCGGGGATTGAACTTAGGGGCACTCAGGGGCGCGACCACTGAGCCTATTTTCAGCCCTATATTGTATTTTATTTAGAGACAGGGTCTCATTGAGTTGCTTAGCAACTTGCCTTTGCTAAGGCTGGCTTTGAACTCCAGATCCTCCTGCCTCAGCCTCCCCAGCCACTGGGATTACAGGCGTACACCATTGTGCTTAGCTTAAACTCAGGAATTTTTTCCTATGTAATTTACTTAAAATACTTCCCCAAACATCCTCTTATATTATCATAAGCAAAAGTTGTATGGACAGAATCAGGAGACCCAATAAAAAAAGAGCAGGACTCAGTTTGGATGAAACTTCTAGGAACAGGGATAGAAAGAATGGTTTTCTTTGGAAACACCTATAACTCTGCCATATTTATCAGCTTGGATACCACAACATTAGAAAATATTTTTTTAGAAACCATTTTTAGAAAAAAAATTGAAAATATTTATACTGCTTTAACAGACAATACAATGCATGTTTGTCAACCATGAGTGTGAGAAGGCAGGGATCAGTAAACTTTCCCGTAAAGGGACACATTATAAATAATTTAGGGTTTATATTCACATGGACTCTGCCATAACTACTCAACTCTGTACAAAAACATCCATGGACAATAAGCAAATGAAGGAGTATGCATCTATTAAAACTGTACCTATGGATACTGACAAATTTTCTAGATTTTTAAAATATATTTCAACCACTTTAAAAATGTAAAAATTGTTCTCAATTCTTGGACTACACAACATCACACAGCAGGCTATATACTCTGTTGGCAGAGTAGGATAAATTTGGCAATGACAGCACTAGTCAAAGTGAAGCATAGCCTACAATGACCTGAGGATTTAACCAAGAGTTTTGGTCACAGAAAATTTCATTGATTTGTTTCTACAACTCCTGACAGCATCTTCTCTGTGACTCATTTCAACTCATTACGACTTTATTGTAGATTGCTTGTTATTGTTTCACATTTAATAAGCTGTCTCCAGTAGAATGCAAACTTGAGAGCTACTGATGATTCTCTAACTCCCAAACAGGCTGACATTGGTTCTGTGCTTTTAGGGGGTACTCAATAACTTGCAAGACAGAACAGATGAGACTCTAAGAAGAGGAACAGAATTCAGAGGTCACCAAGCTCTGATCTGTGACTTTCTCCAAGGAGCAGTAGACACAGGTTTTTGGGCAATGACACCAAAATTCCCAAGCCCCCAAATGGGACCTGTGTGCCCAGTGAATACTGCTTAGGGCCAGGCATTAGAATGGCCAAAGTCACCTTTGGTGTCAGGAGCAAATGTGAGGTGAAAGTGATCAGGTGCTGAGCATTTCTGTACTTTTAAAACCTCAAATGAAGACATAGAACAGAAGCAGCTTTTTCATTGTTTCAATGAAACCAAACAGCCATACTGTAGAGGCATGTAAAGGACAGTTCCAACTCCAACTGTGATAGAAAATGGGGACATCAAAATACCCAAGTTAAAACTATTTAGGGAGTTGAGGATTTCCTTTCATACTGGATCAAGACCACCTTCCCCAAACTCCCATTCCCAAAACACTGGAGCTCCAGTAGCAACCTGAGGTACTCCTGGGCAGCCCTGAGCTGACCACAGCAATCAGGGCATCCTTCCTGGCAGCAAGGTTACAAGTCAGCTTCGGTGGGGGGAGAGGGGGGGATGGCGGTGGGCAGGGCAAATAAGGCCTAACCAGGTGACTGTAAACTCCTGGGGAAAACAACAGCAAGGGAAAAGGTGTCAAGTCATAGCTTGGCTTGACAGAGATGGAGGGAGAGAGGAACAATTCTATTTCTTCCCACTCTTTCTTATATGAATGAAAATACCTTATGCAAAAAAATTTTTTTTTAAAATTCTGAAATCTTTAATATTTATTTTTTAGTTTTCGGCGGACACAACATCTTTGTATTGCGGTGCTGAGGGTCGAACCTGGGCCGCACGTAAATTCTGAAATCTTGACAATTCTTAATTCACTGGAAAAAAAAATCAAGATTAAGATTAACGGGGCTGGAGTTGTGGCTCAGCGACAGAGCGATCTCCTTGCATGTGCGAGGCCCTGGGTTCGAGCCTCAGCACCACATAAAAATAAATAAAGGTATTGTGTCCAACTACAACTAAAAAAAATAATTTTGTTTTTAAAAAAGAGTAAGATTCACATATAGGAGTCTGCACATATACTGAAACTTTATTTTTCTGTGGCAGTTTTTAAATTTATATGAAATACCAAGGAAAAGCGCACCTGCACACAAAGGGGAACGCTTGGGACCTAGAGGAGAAGGGGGCCAAGACAGGCTGGAATGGGGGAAGGGCTGTCAGGGGGCCGGAGAGGAGGGACAGGCGGAGAAAGCAGGTAGGGGCTCTGGCCTGGCAGAGGACTGCGGAAGCTAGGGGGTAGACTCATTGCGAGGGAGGGGGGGCGGGCTAGGCGGGAATTTCGCTGATGCGGCGAGGTTCCAGCAAAGGGGACCTCCGCACCTCCGCCCGGGTCCGATAAGAAGGAGCAGCTGAGAAGGAGCGGATAGCTGAACGAAGACCCTTCCTCAACCAGGACAACCCAGGGGCAGCCTGGCGGCGCTGGACTCGGCCAGACGCGGTGAAGCTCAAGGAGAGCCCTTCTCCACCAGGTCTAGGTGAGCGCGGCCAGGACAGAGGGCAGCGCGGCCTGCATGACTGTCCGGGCCTGGGCGGACCCCGCGCGGGCCAAGCGGACCGACCCGCCGGGGGCCCGTCGCGCGGGGAGGGCGCGGCCCTCGCGACACTCACTTTCAGTGACCCGGCTGAGGCGCAAGACGTGCTCAGGGCGGATGGTGTCCAGGGCCAGCAGCTCCTGCTCTGTGACCGCTGCCCCGATGCCGTCGTCGGCCGCGTGGGGGGGCGCCTGCCGCCGCACTTTGAGCCGGTTCAGGACGCCACCGCCCGCTTTCTTCTTCTCCTCCTTGCCAGCCACCAGCCCCCCGGGCCCCGCAGCCGACCCCGCGGCCATAGCCTTGGGGTTCGACCCGTTCATAGCTCCACAGCCAAGATGGCCGCCGCCTCCACAGCGCCGTAACTATGGAGAGCGGGGGCGGGGCCAGGCGGCACCTGGGGGCGGGGCCCTGGAGGCGGGGTCTGCGGGGAGCAGTGAAGACTCTCCAACTTTGGTCCTGTCCGGCGGTGGGTAGGGCCTTAGAACTCCCACACACTCTTTCAGGTCCCCAAAGTCATCCCAGATGTTATATATATGTGTGTGTATATATGTATACACACATATATATTACAAGTGAATTTCTGTCTTAGAAACTGTAGATAAAGCATCTTGAGAAAATGTTAATGTTTTTATTATTGAGTGTAAGTTAAAATGGTGTTTGCTGTGCAAAGAGGCAGCTTCAAGACAAGCTTTCTAACTAGATTGCCATGCCAACCCCTGCTGTGCCTGATCTTGAGCGAGACTGCAGGAACTATAAAGATGAGGGAGTGGATATGCCTTATCATTGTATTTTGGCAATTAAGCAAATGCCTGACACATGGTAGGTGCACAACGATTGAATAAATGAGTGAAAGCCTGAAGAGTGTCTCACAACACCCTCCATGAAGGAGTCCCCACTTTGTCAAGAAAGACTGTGGCATACTTCCTCTGACAGGCCGGGAAACTCGGAACTAGAAGATAACTGCCTGGCACCAGCTGTAACAGGTGCAACAAAAGTGATACCAGAGCACCCAGAAGTGGTTTATTCTGTCGGGTTAGGAGGGCGGGGGTGGAAGTGGGTGTCAGGGAAAGGCCTCACAGAGGTGACATTTCTGAGCCTAGGCAGTTAACCACTATTTCATTAGTGAAGGAAGTGGGTAGGAGAGAGGCTGCCTTCTTATACCCCACGTGGTTCCTTCTCTCAAAACTCTGGATGTACAGGAGGCCTGGACTTGACTCATGTGAAGTGTCTACTAGCCAAACTTGGGCCAGAGTGAAATCCCAATCCTCTGTCAATGACTGGCTTCTAGACCTGACTTACACCGGGATTTGCTGGGTCCCTCTCACTTGATGTAAGGGGTTTGGGAGGGGCTGCCAGGACTCACCTAGTTCCTGGACAAAGTCCAAACCTGACCCCCCTCCCCAGCTGCCCAGTTGAGTGAGATAGTATGTGGCCAACTTCCTAACTTTTGAGAAATTAGCATCAGGTGACACTTACAAACCCTTCTAGATTTTAATAAATATAAGAGAAATTAAAACCTTTCCTTTTGTAAATAATCTTTTTAAACCACTCAACAGTGAGTGGCTACTGAAGAGTTTCCAGAACTTTTAATATGCTATTTGATTGTGAATTGCCAAGAGGGTGGTTTAGCATGTGGTCATTCCCCACAAGCTCACATTTATTTCAGAGCACCAGAACGACAATTACCTGGATTCTAGTTTTTTTCTTTCTAGGGATCATGACAAAAGTACTAAGTCCTTCATCTACAAGTCCAATCCAGGAATTTTGCCTAAGTGTATACAAAAGATGTTTACTGCAGGATTATTTGTTACATTGACAAATTACAGTGGAGTCTATGTTATACAGCTGTTAAAAAGAATGAGACTGATGGGAAGATCTCAGAGATACTGAGAAAAAAAGCAAGGCACAGAATCTATTCGATTAAAATAAAAAGCATGTGAATATGTAGATGTATTTGTAATTGTAAAGGAAGAGGTCTGGATATACATTAAAATGTCAACTTTGATTACCTTTAGGGAGGAGAGTACTGGAAGGAACTAAAGAGAATATATTTCCTTTTTACACTATTTAGAGCTACTTCTGTACTTTTTTTATCACAAGCATATGCTCATGGGCTGCTTGTGTAGTTCTTAAAAATAAGAAAGTATCTTAGGTTCTGTATCTAGAAGGCAGACTTTACGTCAAAGTAGATTTATTTTCTCTTAAAATTTAAAGGCAACCTCAAGGCTGGGGGTGTAGCTCAGTGATAGAGTGCTTGCACAGCATATACAAGGCGGCCCTGGGTTTGATCACCAGCACTGCAGGAAGGGAAGGGGGGGGGGGAACTTCAACTGAAAAAAACCCCAAAAAACGAAATACTGTCATATGAGGGAGTTGGGGCCTATACTCTCTCTGGTGACTATGAAGTATGATTAGAAGGATTAGAGTATGTATTTAGAATAGAAAGCATACCAAAAAAAAAAAAAAAGGTAAAATTGGCTGCCATCCAAGGAGTTGAATGCAGGAAGCTCTCAGGAATGCAAGATCATTCAGAGATGGTCTAGTAATTGACAGACAATATAATCTCTAACAAAATAGTCTGTCCTGAGTCCCTGGTAATTGTTAACCTTCATACCAAGAAGGTTGGGAAAGCATTAAAATCTGCATATGATGTGTATCCAGGCAGACTTCAAGGGGTTTGTGCTTTGAGACCTAAAGTTCTGATAAAATTTTCTAAAACAAAACTATATCAGCAGGGCCTATGGTGGGGTTCCATGTGTGCTACATGTGTTGGTGACAAGTGTGTCTTCATTATTGAGGAGCAGAAAATTATTGTGAAATGTTGAAGGCACAGCAAAGTCATAAAGTGAAATTTTAAAAATGAAGCTTCTTTGAGTAATAAAAGATCAAAAGGCTAAAAAACACACACAGAAGAAAAAACAATTTCACTTTTTAAAGGGGTAGGAAGAATTAGAGCTGTTAATGCTCAATTTACCTTTCTTCACCAAATTTTCCTAAGGTACGTAAAAAGGCTCTATTTAGCCATGTGTGGTAGTGCACACCCATAATTCTAGCTGACAGGGAGGCTGAAGCAGGAGGATGGCAAGTTGGAGGCCAGCCTGGGCAACTTAGCAAGACTGTCTGAAATAAAAAAGGATAGGGATGTAGTTCAGTGGTATAGTACCCCTGGTTAAAAATTTTTTTTTAATTACATATACTAACAGTCTGGGGAAAAAAGGAAAATAGAACATTATTGCATTAAATATTAACACCAAGGTTTTCCAGGGCTGGACACAGGAAACCTGAAGCAGTAGGCTGGCCTCCCTTTCACCCCAGACTGGCCCTCTGTCTGAGTCCCTCCAGCCACAGTAAAAGGTGTGACAACGGCTGTTTTCCAGGACAGTCCCAAGGTAGCCAGGCAGTCTGCCTCGAATCAGGCCATGCAGGTGGGGCCAGAGATGGTGCAGCCAAGGTAAGCAAGACATCAGAGGGCTTTTCTCTTTGGAGACTGAGAAGTGAAGTCCTTCCTGCTGCCTCTCTAAAGGTGGCATGTATCAAATCAGCAAGTCATGGCTGGGATAGCAGGCACGCCTTGTGGTCTGGGACTGAAAGCTAGTAATTTCCCCAATACCCAAGTCACTTCACTCCCTGGATAAGGACTGTTTTTTAAAAAGCACTAATTTGGCAACATATACCTATGGTTCCAGCTACTCAGAGGGCTGAGACAGGAATTCGAAAGTTTGAGGCCAGCCTGGGCACCTTAGCAAGAGCCTATCTCAAAATACAATTTAAAAGCTGGGTACGGTGGTACATGCCTATAATCCCAGTGGCTTGGGAGGCTGAGAGAGGAGGACTGGGAGTTCAAAGCCAGCCCCAGCAATTTAGTGAGTTGCTAAGCAATCAGTGAGACCCTGTCTCTAAATAAAATACCAAAAAAGGGAGCTAGAGATGTGGTTCAGTGGTTAAGTGCACCTGAGTTCAATCCCTGGTTCCAAAAAAAAAAAAAAAAGGCTGGAGATATACTAGAGCACTTGCCTAGCATGTGCAAGGCCAGTATCTCTCTCTCACACACACACACACACACACACACACAAACTTTAAAAAGGACACTAATTTATTATTTATATCCCACCTGTTCCGAGAAAAGATTTCTAGCATATTCCAAAGTCGTATAGTAAAATATTGGGGAATAAAAATTCATATAGCCTTGTGAAGTGGAATACTTTCAAATTTTTAAATGCATGTATTATTTGACCTAGTAATTCCTTTAAGGAATTCTAAAGAAACACTTATACATGTGCACAAAGATGCAAGTATGAGATGTTCACCACAGCAATTTGTACTAACAAAAAAATGAGCACTCTTTTAATGTTCAACAATAGGGAAATGGTAACGTAAATTACAATCTAACCATAAAATACTATGCAGTCCTTTAAAGATAATCTCTATGTACCAACCTATCTATATGTATAAATTCTCTAAGACATATTAAGTCTTATGGTTATGTATAGCATAATCCCGTTTGTTTAAAAACACTATATGTACATGTATATGTAAATACGTAGAAAATGAGATACGTATCACCTGCATTATCTTCGTAAGGACTAGAGGGGTAAAGATAAAAAGGATTTTCACAATTTATACCCCATATAATTTTTAAAAAATATTTATGTACATATTACAAATATATTATTATTATATATAGTTTTGTATCACTAAATCTTAAAAGGTTACTTTCTTTTTGTGAAGACAAATATAATAAACCCCCATGTAACCACCGCTTCATCGCTTCATCGGTTATCAACATTCTACACTGAGCCTTGGAAAGTTCCTTTTAAAGAGTATATCATGCTGGGCATGGTGGTGTATACCTCTCATCTAGCAACTGGGGAGGCCGAGGCAAGAAGATCTCAAGTTGGAAGTCAGTCTCGGCAACTGAGGTCCTAAGCAACTTAGCAAGACCTTGTCTCAAAATAAAAAAGGGCTGGGCATGTAGCCCAGAGGTAAAGCACCTCTGGGTTCAAACCCCAGTATCAAAAAACAAAAAATTTTAAAAATCATGGCATAGGAATACAGGTTTGGGGGTCAGACAGGGTCAGATTCTGGTCATTGCTTTGGCCACTTACCAGCTATGTGACTTTGGGCAGGTGATCTCTGAGCCAGTTTTCTCATTTTAAGTCAGGCTAGTCATCACCTTTCCTAGGGTTGTTGTGTACTATGCTGAGGCCAGTGTATCTAGTGAACAGTCACTATGGCAATATCTGTAAGTGACCTCTTTTTCCAGGACCCTTCTGCAGGCACCCTGGGCAGGAAGAAACCACAGAGCTAGATGGGAGAGTACTATCAAGTCAGGGCTGAGAGGAGGCAAGTTGGGGACCGACTTGAAGAAGCAACAGAGATTCAAGTGGAAGCAGTGAGGAAGCCCAGAACATCAACTCTTTAATATCAGGCCTGAGCCAAAAAGCAAGTGGGGTTACTTTTTACTAACATTAAGTAGTTAGGAACAAACAAAACGAAGACTCTTGAACTTACTAGTTCTAGGTCCTCCGTGCTCCACCCTCTTTTCCGACCCCTCACTGCTACAGCAAGCTTTCCAGTAAATGTTGGAAAATCCCAACTCTCTTCCTCCATGGGGGATGTGGGGGTATTAAATCTGGAGAAAGGTCTGACACACCGGCTCCAGCCAACCGGGAGCCTGATTTCCTTAGTAAGATTAAGATCTGGACCCATGGAGTGGTCCAACCCAACCCCCAGCACTTGGCCCAGGGATTTTCTGTCAAGACAATTTCCCTCCCTGCAACTCCCTAGAGCAGGGCTTCTTCAAGTCTCTTCCCCATTTGGCAACTTGTGCAAAGCTACCTGAAATAGCAACAGTTTAAGTCTTAATTAGTAAAGAACTCCAGCTACATAGGTGGACTCAACCTAAGAAAGACACTCTGTGGGCCTTGTGGCTTATTCAGGCCCTGGAAAGACTCCATCATTCTTGGATCGAGCAATGAATTCTGTCCTTCAAGGGATAACTGAGGGAGGTAGACCAGCATTCCCACCCCACCCCCAATCCTAAATAAGCAGCCTTCATTCCAGCTTGAAATATAGCCAGCCAGTAGGGTCTAGAGCCATGTCACATAGCATCCTGAGGAAGTGGGAAGCAGTGCAGAGTAATTATTAAGAGCAAGAGACTTGACTTAAAATTCCAGCTCTGCCTTTGCTGGCTGTGTAGCCCTGGGCAAGTCACTCACCTCTTAAAAAGAGTAATATCAACTGGTTTGCAGAAGAGTCCACAGATACGAAGAGTAAATAGGTAATGTCTGTAAAGTGTTCGGCACTGTGCCTGGCCCATTTCAAGGGTTCACTACAGGAGAGTTATAATTATTTTTACAGCCTAGAATGAGCATGGGCTTTCATAGCAAATAGACTAGTTTTGAACCCTGGCTTGATTGTTTACTGACCAGCCTGGGGCAAATTACTAAACTTTTTTGAGCTTCATATTCTGTAGATATAAAACGTGGCTTATAAATTACAGGGAAAAAAATTCTTCCTGCATTCTGCATTCCAGATGTATACTAAAACACTGCCAACACACCAGAAAAGGGGACGAAGAGAAAAGTATCCCGTGGCTTAGCTCATCCAGAGGCTAAGGGAACAATAAAGGAGGCTATGGGCCTGGTATGCCTTGGGATTGGGATGGTAAGGGGCTGGCTGGTGTTTCAGTGGAAGTAGGAACAAAATAATTTTTATTTTTCCTGGTTGAAATGGCCAAGCAAGGTTTTACATATCTTTCCCTTTAACCAAACATCCCAGAAAGAAGAAAAGCAAGAGATACCTGATTACATGGACAACAGCTCCCAGCCTCACCACAGACGTCTTCACAGCCAGTGAAGCCCCCAGGCCTCCTTTTTCCCATCATATCGCTTCTTTGCAATAAAGCTCAAATTCAACCCCGAGTGTCACTGCAAATTGTTTATTAAAACACAAAGCAATGGACAGTGAAAAAACATCCTGATTTTTTACTTTTTGGTGGGAGTGGGGTGGGGCACGGAAGGGGCAGGGACAGATGGAGACAGCCCAGAAGGAAAGACAGCTCTATCTACCCCTACTGCTTCCCTGGCCAGCCAGGTTGAAAGCCCCTCAAGTACATCTCACTGTGCTGCTGCTGTTAAGTACATACTGTGGCTACAGGCAAAGAGTTGGTTTGGCATCTGCAGGGAGAGGATGGAAAATCAGAGTAGAAGCTACAAGGGCTACTAAAAACTGACACATTTTCTCCGATACTTGGTACCAAAGAGAGCAGCCAGGCCTAATTTGGAGGGTCAGGCAAGACAGCTTAGGCCAATAATGGTTGAAGAGGCTGTCATGAGCTCAGAATGGGTACCTGATGGTAGCCTGGGAGAAACTGATGGAAGGGAAAGGTAATGTTCTTTAAATCCAAGGAGGGAGCTAACCCAGGGTCAAATTTCTTTTCATTCCCTGGATCATGACACACCAAACAGAGTTGTCAAGAAAGTCTCTTTACTGGTTTTGCCATATTGTCTCTCCCTGCCAATTCTCCCCTCCCACCTGGCAACTCGGCTCTCCTTTCCCGACAGTTGTCCTTTGAAAGGACGGAAAGCGCACTTCAGTTTGTTGTTGTTTTTCCTCATACTGAAATAAAGCACTGAAGCTCAAAATAGAGGTGAGAATGGAGTTCTTCTTTTCCCAGTGCTATGTGCTCCCATCTCACAAGACTGCCTGGATATGAGTGGTGCCAAGGCCCTCTCTGCCAACTCGAACAGGCACTACTGTTTCCCTGGCTGCCAGCACAATCCTGGCTCCTTGTTTTTATACTCCTGGGAGGAACTCGTCCCAAGAGATCCATCCTGCTCTTTTCCTGCCAACCCAGCCAGTCCCCAACTCATCTGCTCTTATCAAGATGATTTGGCCACCCAAAGCAAGTGAGACAAAGGCAGCTTGAGGACGACAAACCAGATCAACAGCAAACCACACATGTGCAAAAGAAACCCACCCTCACTAGGCAGCTGACCCACTGATGCCAAGCTTACAACGTGGGGAAATCTAACCCTCTTGCTTCAGAAGAGGTCCAAATACAGAAAGAGCCTAGCTCAGACTGAAAAAGAAAATTGCCCTGATCTCTCTGAAGCATGAACATTAAGGCTTCTTTGCAATTTTCTTAGAGCTCTTTGATCCCTAATTATATCTTTCCCTACAAGAGAGGAAGATTTCTTCTGAGATTCTGAACAGATCCTGAGTGTTTCTGGTTCTGCTTCAGTACACTCTCACTTAGCCTTACCCCAGTCTCCTTCCTCAGAGGCCACAGCAGAAGGCGGCCCAAAGCATACTTCCCCTGGCCCAGTCTTTTTTTAAAAAAAAACAGGACCATTTACAAGTTTCTCACTTGGGAAAGCTCACCTACTCTCCTATATCCTTTTGGAGAGGCAGGAAGGACAATGTTACATGTTGTCGCTTGATGCCATTAAGGCTCCTCAAGGCAAGAAGACACTTGAAAAGTAGGCCAGCAAAGGGGAGGGGAGGGATGGGGAAGCAGCCCCATGGCAGGGACTGTAAGACCCCTGCCCTGACCTGAATCTAGAGGGAATGCCCACCCTGGCTCAGAGCAGGAGAGGAAAAGGCACTGTGCTGACCGGGGTAGGTTCATCCTCAATCCCCAGGGAGGGTAGAGAACCTGCTGATTCTTTCCTTGGGCTTCCCGAGGTGAACCAATTTCTAGGGAAAGGGATCTAAGTGCTAGGACAAGGAAAATACTGCTGCTGTTTTCTGAAATTCTCAGCTGAGATTCTAGAAGTCAGGGCCAGGTCTCCCTAGGAGAGGCTAGGGGCAAAACAAAAAGGAAGAGAAATTCCTTAAAACAGAAGCTTCTCCAAAAAAGACAAAAGTCAAACCACACTTCTAAAACTGGATCCAACAGTTCCCAGGCACAGAAAGGGGGAGGTAAGCCTAATGCAAATTTTATCCCACCTCATCAAAGCCCACATGACCTCTAGCGTGACTGTATCCCCTCAGAGAGAGCAAGAGAACTCGATCACACCTTTCAACAACAAGGTGGCCCTGCAGGTCACAGCTGGTCCTCCTGGGAGTCTGATACCACGGAAGCTTAAAAGTTACCTTTTAAATCATCAGAACTCAGGGTATCCACTGAGCAGCTTCTCCTTAGGAAGGAAGATTTTTCAGAAAAAACAATGGATTTGATTTACAGGATATGGACCCCACAGTTTCTTAATTTTTCACTCAGCATGAGTAAGATCCAAAATAGTCCAATTAGAGACTGTGGATCACTGACCCAAATCAGACCAGACTACAGATTCAGCCTGTTTCCAGCAGTCATCTTTGCATGGTTTTCTACAAACTGCACTAGAGCCATGCTTCTGGCAAAAGGAGTTTCACCCTGGCTATCTGCTCTTTAGCCAGTAGGGCTCTATGGACCCTAAAACCCTGGGACGGCATGTGATGGAATAGAAGAGCCTGGCTTCTCCTCCCCAATCAGCCCCAGGCAGACTCCCTACAGTATAGCCCAGCCTCAGTCCTACACTAGTTCAAAATACAGATGGAGAACAAACAGTGCAAAAAGCAAAAGATGAACAGAGTAATTCTTGACATGTACAATACAAAAATAAAAATAAAGCATGCCCCATTCCATCCCTTTAACCTAAACTTCATGTACCTTTATCCCTTGGAGGAGCCAAAAAAAAAAAAGCTTTCAAGTTCAGCAACATGAGCCAGCTGTTGCTAGCACTAGGCAGCTATCTTTTAGCTGGGTGGGCTTGGTTTCAGGGGAGTCTATCCCAGCCCCTGCCATAATTCTCCCCGTTTCCTCACTTCCCCTTTAATTTTGTCAGCCATAGAAAGATGTTCCTTCCTTTTGGATACAACCAGAGAGGAAAGCACCCATTCTGTCCCTGGGGGAAGGAGTAGGCTTCTGGAAACAGGCAGAGCAAAGCTGCTTGGCTTACAGTACCATTAGGAAATGGCCCCAGGAGTCAGGGTTTCCTTCTGAGACAATGAGTCACTAAAGAGATGGGCTGAGGTGAGGAGGCAGGACCCCTCCTTCCTCGGAGACCCAAGCAAACTAACAAACAAGGCAAAATAGAGGCAACAAGTCCTCCTTCATCTTGTCTAATCAATTGGCAGTGGCTCACACCTTTAGGAATTGTGAAAGAACAGAAACCAACACCACTGTCAGAAGCCCAATTAGTAAGGACATCCACTGTCCAGGAAGTTGGTCCCCAAGACCAAGGCTACAGTACCTCAACCTTTAGAAGGGGGCTTCAGGTGCACTCCAGGACCTCCTTGCTCCTCTGATTGCAACCTCAGGCCCCAGCCATCCAGCTGCCTGACTCAGTACCCTAAGACTGAGGCCCAAGTCACAATGAAAATAAAGGGCTATAATTCTCAAATGACTAAACGCTGGCCTGGAGTAATCATTAAGAGCCAAAGTCAGGACATGAACCCAAGAACCACTTACTTTTGTCACATAAGGAACAGTTCAAATATACGAAACTCTTAAAAAACATCTAGTAAGGCAAACTGAAAATCAAACATATTCTAAAAAGATGGGCCTGGCCTGAGATTCTGTACTGCTCCAGCTCAAGCTGAAGCTAATCCTGCTGCCTCCCACCCACAAAATTTCTTTTAGCTTAGCTGGGTCCTCCCTCATTGTTGCCCTAACAGAGAAATGAATGACAGTGATCAGAAAGGAGGAGAAAAGGGAAATTTCATTTTCTGCAGACATTTTTCTAGGGAATTCCAGACAGACACTTTAGATGTTAAGGTTAACCTCAGAGCTGCCAGGACTAAGCTGACTGAGACTCTTTTAGCCCCATCACACCAAGAACCTGACTACAACTTGGATAGGGAAATGAAGATGGAGGGGCATAATATTAAGATTCATGAGAAAAATCACTAGGCCAATATGGTGAATCCATTTAGTTCCTTGAGGCAGCTCTGGGCAGAGGACATGGGGATAAATGAACACAAAATACTAAACACTCTAAACAGTGGTCAATCACTTAGTAGGGCTCAAGTCTCTGAGGTTGCTCTTAAGTTATGCTAACATAAGCCTTTTCTAATCCAAAGACCAGAAGAGACTTTTAAGGTCAAGTGTTCAGTTGCTGCAGGCTGGAAAGCATCCCTGTCCCCTGGCAGCAAGACCCTACAAAGGGGCCAGTAAAGAACTGCTGGGTCAGGTCCTCCTGGCTGCTGGCTCAGAGATCCAGGGAGGGAGGTACCAACAAGGTGAGGTGGTAGAAGATAAGACATTCAAGCACAGAGAATCCAAATCCCCATGTCTCCTTCCCTTCTTGGCAATAATTTAGTGAGGATGGTAGAAAGGGAGAAGAGATTCCAAATGAGCCAGATTAAGAAAAAAAAAAAATTTGAAAGATCAAGTCCCCAACAGGCACTGAAATCAAAATGATTTGCTGTGGTGACAAGTCAGAGGCAATTTGAGGACCTGATATGAACTAATTGTCTTGGATACCAGACAGTCCTCTAACTGGCACATGTCAGGGAGATAAGCAATGACAAACTCAAATATTTGAGAAGGAACCATCATTGGATTAATCCAGAAAGGCTTCCAAGTAAGGAAGCGTTTACTTTTCTTTCTTTTTCAATTCCCCCATTTTTTGCCTTTACCATCTGATTTATACACCTTCACACACACATTCTTTCAATCCCAGGACATATGAAAACTTATCTGGACATGACTTCAGAACATACCCAACTCCCAGTGCTGGTCTTCTCAGGTAATTAGATGACATTTCCCTATTTGTTAATTTCTAACCTAAAAAACTACTCTGAGTTCAGAGTCCTTTTCACTCGTTATACAAATAAGGATCCTGGACAGGAAGGACCCGTTTGCCCCAAGTACCCCAGAGAGAAAAGTGACAGCTGGGGCCAGCCACAAAGAGAGGACTAGGACTGAAGCAGGCCTGGGACCAAGTAGTGGATGAGGGCTGCTCTCCACTCACTCTGCCTCTTTTTATCACCTTTACTTTTTGTGTGTGGGGGCTTTGTTTGTTTGTTGGATTTGTTTCATTTTGTTTTTTTGTTTTTTATATCATTATGAAAAATACAGAAACCAAAATCAACATGTTTGGTTTCCCACTCCCCTCCACCCTGCTCAGGATGGTCATTTGTTCTCACAACCGGCAGAGGCAGAAGAGGGTTGGAATGAAGACTCCAAAGGCCACCAGGATGGGAAACATGAGGCTGCTGTTGTCTGAGGCATAGGGGTTGGGTGTGCGAGGACCAGACTGCACCCGGTTCTTATTGGTCTGTCTTTTGAGATTAGACCCTTCATCATATTCTTCTTCTTCTTCTTCCTCTTCTTTCTTCTCCAATCCTGGATGAGGCTGTAGCTTTGGTACATCTAACACAAGAAAGAAAATGCCTATTAAGTGAGACCCATAGCATGAAGTAAGACCCTAAGAACAGCAAATGAGCCACAATAAAGAAACTCCTGTGACCTAACTAGGGTCCACAGGAAGGAGAAGTAACACAGATGATCTCCAGCCTAAAGAACAACAGAGTGTCAATAACACTAGTCTTCAGATTTAACTAAAAAGTTGGAAAAGCCCTGCTCACAGAGAAGCTCACTATCTCCCTTCCTGTCCCACATCTTCAGAGCCCCAAGAAGTTTAGACTGGTCAGAGACAATGATCTCACACCCAAAATTTAACCTTTCAAATCCCTCCTCCTTTGCACAAGCCCACATTTCCTGTAGATTCACACAAAGACTAAAGAAAAAAGCTGATCTACAGCGTTCTGGGTTCTAGCTCACACTTCCCCTCTGTCCTACCTCTTCCTCAGGGACTCAAGCACAAAGCTGTCTGGTGTAAGATATCATCTTCCTAGATGCCATCACATCAGAATTTGGGAGGGGACACCAAGACAAGATGATAAGATGTGTACTCAAGACAACTTGGGTAAAGGCACAGAGATAGGATAGGGAAGAAAAATCACTAAGATACAAGTTTTCTCTGCAAACATCAGTTGGGAAGCTGGCAGCCAGGATAATCGAAACCCTAAGCAAGAGTCTGAATCCCAAAGACAAAGAGATATGAATAAATGGACTTTGGTCCCAGTGTACTCCAGCAACACTGGAGTTCTTCAGAACATACCAAAATCCTAACAAAGTCTTCCTTTTGCCTTTTTCTCCTAAGAAATAAATGTCAACACGAATTGAAATGAGGACAAGTTTAAGGCAATAGCAAATTGGGGTCAGGCACCTCAATGGGAACCATTATTAATCCCAATTTATAGGAAACTTAAAAGAATTTGTCTAAGGTCAAACAGCTGATTAAATAGTAAACATAAGAACACAGATCTTATTTCAAAGCTTGTGGCTAGTACCATGAAATACTTCATCCTCATCCTTGTGACTCTGAATTCCCCACAATCTGGCTTTAAGTGTTTACAAATAATGATCAGCTAAATTATCTCCTGAGGGTTTCCTGAACCATATCTTTCAGCCAGAGTCAGAAAGCAAACCAAAAGCACAACTTACCATCCACTGTTCCAGCCATGATGTAGAGTGCACAGACTTTGGGATTGTCATAATACCCCTAGGAAATGGGGAAGAATGGTCAATCCACACAGCAGCCAATATGTTATCCTCACCCACTCTTCTGAGCCATTCCTCAACCATGAGACAGAATGGGGCATTACCTTGACAAACTCAATGTAGAGTTTCCCTGTGAAGGTGGACACTTCCCCCTGTACACTCAGCTTCCCCTTTCTGATGCTCATAGGGATGATTTCATCGTGAGCTGTGCTGTGTCCAACACGATCAAAGATATCCAAATCCTTCACCACGACGTGGCCATTTAATCGTACATCAAATACCTTCAAGGATTAGAAAAAGAGACTATGTCAAAACCATCAGCTTTGTACCTCTTCAAGGAATCGGACATTATGCACCTGCCTGGGCTTCAAGTTCAAAATTAATTTAAAAAATGATGGGTCTGGATATACTCTGGGGTGGCTAGAGTCCTTTACCCAAACCAAGCCAAAACTATGTTCCGTCATTGCCATGGCAGTAGCATATTTGCCTCAAGAAACAAAGAATAAAAACAAAAATCTCAGCATGCAAAGAAGGAAATTCACAGGAAAACACAGAGGAAAAGGAAAAGGCTAAAAACAAGAAGGCACTGAAAATCAAGGGAAGAGAAGTAACCAGGATGGGCTGGGGTTGTGGCTCAGTGGTAGAGCACTTGCCTCACATGTGCGAGACCCTGGGTTCGTTCCTCAGCACCACATAGAAATAAATGAGTGAAGTATTGTGTTCAACTAAAAATAAATAAATATTAAAAAAAAAAAAAGAGAAGTAACCAGGAGGACCTTAACAGGATCAGTCAGTTGCCAAGAACTAGGATTCTAGCAATGCTCTCTGTCACCAACCCCTAAGGCAAGTGTGGTCACACAGGCAATGGGACACAGCTTTCTCAGATGCAGAAAGAATCCGGCTTTTCCTCAAAGTTCATCTGTTCCTCCCTTCTGGGAGGCTCTGACACTGTGGCCCTATAGCAAAGGAATGTCCAAGAGTATCAATGTCTCACTAAGTCAAGACCTTACCTTCTGCTGGGACTGTGCAAAGTAGACCTCTGCAAATTTCAAAACCAGCACATAGTCCCCCTCCTCCTTGATGGGCACTTCATAGCCAAAGGTCTCTTCATTGTACCGCTCTGTTTGATACAGGATCTGGTCCTCTGGGTTGGAACGCAGAATTGGTAGTTTCATGCCATAGTCTGAAGCTGGGAACCAGACAGAAAGCACATCAGAGGCAAGATATAAAAGAGTAGAGACCCCAGAACTGTCAGAGGCATTTCTGGGGTAATGCTAATAACCCTTTCAGTAGGAGGAGCCACCTCCTCTGCACCTGGCTCCAAACAGAGCTCACACAAAAGCAAGAATCAGATAGCCATTGCCAAGGAAGAGCACATGAAAGAAACTCAATACTCATTCCAATAGCCCCTCTAACCTTCACAGGGGAAGGTTTCCCCTGGCTATCTGGAGAATGAGAACAAGTCTAACTCATTATGTGAAGAAAAATGCTATGCTGGAGGTGCCTGGTTCCGGAAGAGGGAGAGTTTCAGAAAAACCCCCTGAAACCAGGGGATGGCCAGGAACTCTAATCAAGGTGACTGAGTTCAAATGTTTTTTCTTAATCAGAAAAATTAATCATCTGGCTGGGTGCGGTGGAGTACACCTGTAATCCCAGTGGCTCTGGAGGCTGAGGCAGGAAGATTGTGAGTTTAAAGCCAGCTTCAGCAACTTATTGAGGCCCTAAGGAACTCAGTGGGACCCTGTCTCTAAAGGGCTGGGGATGTGACTCAGTGGCTAAGCGTCCCTGAGTTCCATCTCTGGTTCAAAAAAAAAGAAAAGAAAAACTAAGCATCTAAAACAAACTGGATGGGCTGGGGTTGTGGCTCAGCAGTAGATCACTTGCCTAGCATGTGCAAGGCCCTGGGTTCAACCCGCAGCACCACATAAAAATAAATAAATAAAGATAGTGTCCAACTAAAAAATAAATGTTAAAAAAAGACAGAATTTAAAAAATAAATAAATAAATAAAACTGTGGGCTATCTGGTTATAAAAGTCATTTTTTATCATCTTTACTATGAATAATATCCCAGCTTTACTTGTTTTTTCCCAAATTTTCATTCAAAAAGTTTTAATGCTGGCAAAAAAAAAAAAAAAAGACTCACAAAAAAGAAGGATGGAACTCTCTAATTTCCAATAGGTTCAAGCACCTTGCTACCCACAGACTCATAAAACTCCAACTCTTAAACATTTCCTAAATTAAACCAACAGAAGAAAACAGTTCTACCAAAGCTCCAGCACCTACCACAGCACCTGACATAGTAGCCACTCAGACCAATATAGGTCTGTTTCCTCACCTATAAACTCAGTGTTGTTTGCTGAATGAACAAATGGCAACAAAGGAAGTACCTACAAAGCAGAGAAGTCATGCCCTGCTCACCAGGAGTCTAGAGCATCTGCAGGGAAGTCAATCTGCCAAGGTCCTACTGATACCTCTGGCTTAAGATGTCCAAGTCCTGGGGAGACACCATTTCCATTTCACAAAAAGAACAAGGAACAAGGTAGAGTAAAAGTACAAAGTTTACCTTGGGGTCAGTATCAGAAAAGTCAAAAACCTCTATTGTCCCCAGGTCTCTCCCAACCTCAGTAGAAGATAAGTTGTGTATTCGCGTTTTTCCCACACACAACAAACTAAACTATTCCACAAAATATCACCTTCCAGCCCCCAAAGATAATACTTCTGTTTCCTCCTTCAGAGAGCAGCCTGATTCCTTTATCCTACAGATACTTTCCAGTGTCCCATAGTTTACTTTCCCAACTACAGACAGATAGTAGGGTAGGGTAATTTTTCCTCCAGCATGGAATTAAGACTTCAAGACTGGGGCTGGGGTTGTGGCTCAGTGATAGAGCGTTCGCCTAGCACGGGCGAGGCCCTGGGTTCGATCCTCCACACCACATAAAAATAAATAAATAAAGACATTAAAAAAAAAAAAAAAAACAAAACAGAATCATCTTTAAAAAAAAAAAAAAAAAAGACTTCAAAACTCC